CCCGAACTAATGCTCTGTTGGCTTCAGATCGCAGGTCATGGAAATCTCACCACTGTTACGTGCCGCAGAACAAGATTTGATGTAAGCCTTGAAAGGCTTCCATCATTTCAAAGGAAAATCAATTTTTAAATTGCTGACTATTAAGATGGCTGCTCATCTGCACCCGCTGCCCCGCGGGCCGTGGGAGGGACATGCACGGGCCCGGCAGTGGGATGCGCTGCGGTCCGTCGCTGTCGTGGTGGATGTCTCAGGGCCAGTGTTCCGTGAATGTCATCTTGAATTGCATCGTGAGAAAAGTGCTTAGAGTTGAAGCTGGTGCTGGGTGACAGTGCATCTGGGTAAGGCAAATGAGAGGCAGTGAGGTGATCTCAGAATGGCATTGATGTGATCAACTTGAGGTCAGGGGTTCACACTAGAGTCCCAGGCTTGGCTTTTTCCTGCCCATACCACTGGACATCTGCTAATTCTGGATAGAGGGGAGAATCCAGGAAACAGCTATCGTTGTAGCTCCTGCAGGAGAAAGGAAACTTCATTAGGACGACGAGGGCTCCTGGGAAGTTCAGCCATGGGCATAAAGCATCGTATTATGGGTGGGGAGGAACGCAGGATATTCACACTCGCACGCTGCAGGTACCCCCGGAGCTGACGTTCGGGGTGGGCTCAGCATGCAGGGCCCTGCCTTTGCCCCATGTGCTCTTGCCTGGCAGTCCTGTCCCCCCCCAGCAGCGCAGTCTCTCCAGGGTTTGGATGATGCCTGAATGGCAACAGGCAGAGCTGTTGTGTTTTCAGCCCGCTGCTGGCCAGCAGCAGGGGCTTCGTGAAGGGGATGCGCTGCAGGAGAGCAGAGCGGCTGCTGGAGGGCCAGAGCTTGTGGCCAACCCCATCAGCTGTGTCTGTCCCACCCCCACGGCACCACGCCTGCCTCCGCTTTCTCTGTACGTGGCCTCTGCCCTCCGGGGGTACAGCAGCAGCGCTCTGCCTTGCCTGAAGGGCTCTGTCTTGCTTTCCTGCCCAGCAGTAAGCTGGGGTAAAGAGAGTTTTAGTCGGATGCTCTCCAGGGAGCAAGTCTGCAGAGCAGCCCTCCTGGCCACAGACTGTGGTACCTAGTGGGAACACGGGAGGAGGGTGCTGGTGCTTTCCTGTAGCACTTCTGCTCCGTGCAGAGGCTCGCGCATCACCTGGCAGTCCCAGGGTTACGGGGCTTTCCAGGGATGAGCTAGGAAGCGACTAGTGAGAGGATGCCAGGTCCAGTGTGGAAAGGACCGTGTTTTGTCATAGCTAGTTTAGTCCTCATCTTGTGGCACCTCTCTTGACAAGCTACTGCTTCTTTTGCTGCGTGGCTTTTTGTTCGCTTGCACAGAGCAGACGAGACAGATTATGGGAATTGTCTTTGATATTTATCCCAAAGCTCCGATCAGGGTCAGCTCCTGGCTTAGTCTGCGGAGCTCCTTGCCAGAGGAAAACACTGAGGTCAAAATCTTGTTGATATTTTGAAAAGTGACTGCTCTATCTGCACGGTAATATTCAAAAGTGATGTCTCTCCCCCTCACACTTTGATTTTAACCAACTTCCAAACCAGAGATTGTTTTGAGGCCAAAAGTGGGAGATGCATTTTCTTTCTTTTTACTGTAGGATTCTCGCTCCTTCCTTGGCTCCCTCCCTGCCTCGCAGGACTGATCTCGCATCTGATGCAGTCCCGCAGTTCCTGCTTTCTCTGCCCTGGTTTCCCTGGGACCGGTGTCTGGGAGGAACCTGATCAAGGGCATCACGGTCTGCATGTTAAAGAGCCTTTTGTTTCCCAGCTCTGTGCTGGAGTACGGAGGTTTATGGTTTATCACTAGAAAGCTGGGCTTGAAATACTCGACAGATGCCAGCTGTGAATGGTTGTAGATTCAAATGAGAGTGTCAGACAGCGACAACAGTTTAATTAAAATAGAAATACTCTGAGGGTTTTTTTGTTCTCTCCACCCTTCCCTCTCCGTCTTCCCACAGGAACTGGGGCCAGGGTCGCTCCTTCATTCCATGAAACCTTGCTGCTGCTAACAGCCTCTGCTTCACAGCTCTGCTCTGCGGTAGGGAAGGAGGAGAAAGGGGTGCTTGGTGCCAGGGCTGGAGCACTGCTGGGAGCTCAGACCACGTCCCCCGAAGCCCCCGTTTACCCGAGCTCGTCTCCCTGCCATGCTGCTCCCAGACTCTCCCCTCGGCACTTTGCCCACGCTGCTTTGAAATGTCCCCACACACAAATTTGTCGCTATCGCCTGCTCTCTGTGCCCGTTCAACCTCTGCATGAATGCAGAGCGCGCTGGCCCCAAGTCCTCTTTCACAGGGGAAAGCGCCCCAGCTAAAAACTTGCTGAAAAGGCACAGAGAGGGCTTCGAGATGCTTTCAAGTTGTTCTTCCAAGAGCTGAAGGAAGCCTTGTTGCCAAACAAACAGGCACACAATTAAAAGGGCTGCTCCTCTGGGACAGCGGGATGCCGGTTATTTGCACTGTGTTCACGGACTGTAAGGCAGAAGGATGAAAGAACAAAACGTTCCCTTACTATACCTCTATTCATCAGTACTTTGGTGGGTTGGAGACTGAGACTCATCCATAGTGGGTGAGTTGTCTGTTGCTTCTCTGAACAAAGGAGAGCACAAAAGGAGGAAAGAGGAGAGAGGAAATGTTAAAGAAAAGAAGTGACACAGACATTGTTACGAGCTTATTAATCCAGTGGGGAAACAAGTTGATGAAATATCTTTAGAAAAAGTTAGTGAGACAAAAACATGTTGGGGAGAACTGTCCATCTTTTGAGTCATGCTGGGAGGGCACAGCCTGCTCCTGCAGTGGGGGAGTTTGTGTTGTGCATCTAATGGCAAACTATCTGCTCCTACTGTATTTACACATATGCCTTGGGTGTTATGCTCAGGCATGAAATAAGTGCCGATTTGTCTCCAATTCTTTTTGCACTGGTTGTTGGTGCAGGGCCTAAGCTATAAATCTAGAGAACTTCACTTTCACTAGCTGAGAATTTGGCTTGATGCATTTTTGCTAGGAGAGACAGCGTGCAGGTATTTTCTTGAATGGAAAAATGAGAAAAGTCGGGATTTTTCCAAGCAGATTTCTCAGCTGGCTGCTCCCCAGTTTTACTTCTGATCATCATGGAGATATTTAGAGGAATTAGGATTGGGTCGGAGACTGAGACTAAGATGTGAGTCTAGACTCAAACCCTTAATAGTGGAAATTTCCGTGTACAGTGAAGATAGCTGCCATTTTGCCTATCTTGCGATCCCTTGACTTTTTGTGAAGTGGGACCTGTTCTAAAGCTGGAAGCAAATGCAAAGACCATGTGAGGCTGGATGTCAACTGTGTGAATTTAAAATCCAAGGCAGGCCTAAAGGCGTTGTGGTTATGGTTCTCCTCATCTCCATTTTAAAGTGCAGTCACGAGCAGTGCTGGAGTAAAACCAGAGGTCAAACTTGGTCATAGGTGACCAGAAGAAATTAAAGAGCATGAGATTTTCCAGTGGCTGCACAGTGAAATGTCTGCAAAATTACCAGTCCCAATTCACAACTCGGGATCATATCTGTTTTCCTGCTCTAGGGCCTATGGTATTTTGAGGACCATAGTCTGAAATTTTCTAGCTGATCTCACCAAACTCAATTTAGATGCAAAAATCTGGGACGTGCTGAGTTAGACAGGACCTGGAAATGATCTTTATTTCATGTGGCAGGACAGAATTACAGGAGGTTGCTAGAGAATACCCATGGGAGCTTGCAGAAGGTTTTTTGGTTACTCCTGGAACTCCCTGCCTCACAAAATGGTGCCAAAGAACCCAATTACTGTATTTACATGAGTAATGGCTACCTGCACGTAATGACTCACGCACGCTTTGGCGAAGCACGTTAAGTTAGTGGTGGCTGATGTAGCTAGAAAAAAGATGCACGTAATAGTCATTAAGACACATTGCTGGGGAGAACCTAGCAGAAAAACGTGGTTGCTGCACACACAAATATGATAGGCACCTAACTTTGCCTTTACAACAAAGATCTCCTGGGTCTGGACAGCAGCATGATGGTTGCTAAAAAAAAAAAAATCAGCTATTTTGACATACTGAAAATTGGAGGATGGAGAGCATCCAAGCAGGAAGAACCTGCAAGGCTTCTTTCCCTGTGGATCCGGCCCTGCTTGGAGCAGTGCTGCTGGGTGCAGACGGCACTGCCATGTTGTGCTCAGCCTAAACTAGAGCTCCACTATGAGAGCATGGGTGGGAGGCTGGAAATGGCATAGGCTATTGAGCATCTGGAAGATGTTCCCTGTATCTGCGCCCTCCCTTTGCTTGTGTGCAGGGAGGTGCTTCTCACCGGCACTGAGCGAGGTGAATTCTCTAACCCGATCCCACAGACACTCACCCAGTCTGCCATGCGAGAATGTGGTGGGGACTGCCCGGTGGCGTGGCTGCTAGTTCACTCGACGGTGTTGAACTCCTCTGGCTGTGAGGTAAGGCAGCTGAAAAACAACCAAAGGGTGGAGAAAAACAACCGGTGAGGTGAGGGCGCAAGGGTCAGGGTGGTTCAGAAGCATCAGCTGGTCAGACCAGCAGAAACATGTCCTGCTGTGAGTAAACACAGCCTGGGAGTCAGACCTCATCCTGTTCCTGGATGGCTGTGCCCGAACGCGGCACGGGAGCAGCCAGCCTGGTGCTGACGCTGCTGCGTGTCGCGGGCTGGATCCGTCCTCAGCTCTGCAGGAGTGCTTTGTTTCAACCCGGACTCTCTCGAGCCCTGCCTGGGAAGCACCGCACCTCTCCCATCATGAAAGCTAATCCGTTTTGCTGCTGCGGGGACTGGCACGGCCTGGCTGTGTATCTCCACGGGACCTGAAATGGAGGAGCCCAGCCCATCAGGCTCCGCCTCCTGCTTCCAGGGGTGGTGGGAGATGCTCTGTGTCCCCAGGAGCCAGAGCTGGCACTGGCGAGAGTCTGGACAAGTACACTGCTTCAGGTGCAAGGGAGGAAGACAGCTCTGAAGATTTCAAAAGCTACAACTACCTTTCACCGTGCATCTGTAATAAACTGACGTTCGGCTTTGCTGACCTTACTACTATGGGACCAGAGGAAGGATTATCTTAACTTCAGTGAAGACAGAAGCAAGCTGAACTAAAAATGTACCATTGGCAGTGGTTCTTGGGGGAGTTTCCCTGGTGAGAGTCTAACTAAGAAATCCACCTGACTGATCATTCCTCCTCCTCAAGTCCATAAAGAGTTGACCTTCTGAATTTAATATATGCCTAGAAGTATGATCCTCTTTGAAGGACAACGTGAAGTTCAATAGACCTATCAGCTAGGGCTAATCAGCTAAAATGATGGATGTTTCTACCTGGCATCCCCTTCTGTGCTGTTAAATTCTTTAGCTGCTGCCAAACGACACTTCAAGAGAAAAACAAATTTTAATCTGCTCCTTGGAGCTGACAGCCCCTGAGGTCAGCATCCTCCCACAGCTGTAACTGGGAGCTGACTCTGAACGCAAAACCAATCTGTGCCGCCAACTGGTCACGACAAGCTATGATTACTGAGCACACTTGCCACTGTGCTGCCCAGATACCACATTTAGACGTAAAGACCCAGCTGGGTGGGAGAACGGATGGACTGCCAGCAGTTTTTATGTGCTCTCCCCCAGCCCCACCATTTTCGTTTCTGGATTACCTAACTGAACAGGTACGGTTTCCAAAGCTAAGCAAGGCAATGCTTTCCAGTGTTCCAGCATTTTGTGTTGCTGGGTGGAACAGAAATGCTGCTTAATCAAAGGGGGGAAGACAGATTTTCATATGGAGACACAGGACGGTTCCAGCAGCTACTCGATGGTGTCTTGGTCCACACCTGGGCCTCCTGCGAGTGTGGGCATCACACATAAATCAGCCTCTTCTCGGGCAGCTGTTGGTGGCCCACGAGGAGCCTGGTGTCAAACCGCCTCTCTGACTCCATGCTGGAGTCTGCAGTGAATACAAAGCGTCGCTGCTGTCAGCGTGGTGGTCACCGTGGACTGGGCACGATGCGGGGGTGTCAGAAGGCCAACAGCCAGCACGGGTGGACGATGCACGGTCTGCTCATGGAGGCCGCAAGGACCTGCGGCAAGCGAGGCCAGAGCAATGGCGTCCCCCACGCCAAGCCTGAGGCATGTGAAAGGGTGGGGATGGGCACGGTGCACACTCTTGATTAACCAGCAATCCTGTCTACGCGGGGCTGGATTCAGGTTTTTAGCAAGTCCTTGATTATCTGAACGGGCTTGTCCAGCAGTGACTGATGGCCAGTAAATATTTAACCTTGGACTGTTTCATAACACATAGTGGCCTTCTCAGTTTAATGAATTTGACTGTTTTCTTACCATTTAATATTAACAGCACAGAGGAGTGCAAAGCTCTGTACATGACAGAGAGGCGTAACACTGCACAAACTTAAGCGCTCTGAATTTCAGGATATTATCAGCACAGCTACTGGAGCTGCATGGGAAAACCAAGTCTCAGCAGTGCACAAAGATGTCATCGCTGAAACATCTTCGTGGGGGGTGGAGGGGCTGGGATGCTCCCCACTTAACCTTTCTCATGCATTTGGTGTTTCACTGAGGACATGCATTCTCCTAGTCTGTGCTGAGCCCCCGCTTGCTTCATCACCGCCCTCGCTGTGATTACTAAGAGCGATTCCCCCACTGCGGTTTCTCCATGTTTGGCCCCTAGTGCCATCACCCAAAACCCAACTCTGAGGAAAGACCTGGCAACAACGGTGGTTTGGTCCCTCCCTGTCTTTTGAGTCCGTCATTGCAAAGTGATGATTTCCATGGAAAAAAATTCTCACCCGATGAGTGTCTCAGACAAGGCTTGCCCCCCAGTGTTACGCCTACAGGCTTAGTGAGCAGCATGTGAAGGCCAGATAATGTGCTATGGTCTGGCATTGCTCTCCAACCAGGGTGTAACGTCTGGCACGAAACCGGGCTGCGTGAAGCCCCCATCCCTCCCGCCCCTTTGCCCGGGACCGTCTCTCACCTGATGTTGCTTTACACATCTGAGGCATTCTCGTGACCCGGCTGTGTGCCACAAAGGTGCTTTGCGAAGATGTGCTGTACTGGGAGCTGCTGTCCGAGGAAGTGGAGCTCGTGTGCGAGAGAGCTGGTGTGCGAGAGGCGGCTGTGCTCCTTGTGGGAGGCCGTGGACCGCTGGTACCAGAGCCGCAGCTCGTCTGACACGGCAGTCCTACCCGAGCCTTTCTCGTGGCCCTCCCTGCCCAGAGATGGAGTCCTTATGATTTGGGAGCGGGAGGGGGTGAGCCTGACGGAGTCCACTTCATCCCCGTGCCAGTTCTCCTTAAACATCCCCCCCGCTGTGTAGGAGTTGGAGGTTTTGAATTGTGCTTTCACGCTGTAGTGTCCCTCCTGGTCATTCTCCAGGCTCCGCACCACCACGGGTGTGGAGCTGCCCTCGATGTACAGGGGATACTCTTTGATCCTGTACTGGGAGGAGGGTTGGCTCTGGCTGTGCAGGTAGACGCGGTGGTGCCCTGTCCCGTTCCTCGCAGCCAGGTTGGGCATACTCCCTGAATTGGAAGAGACCAGGTTGCCCGCTGATTTGTGCCTTTGCCTCTGCCGCTCTCTGGCTTTTGACGGGGAGTCCTCTGCCAGGGTGGAGTAGTTGGGGTTCATCTGAGCGGGGTAGTAGTGCTCAGAGCTGGAATGGCTGGTGCAGGAAGAGCAGTCGTCCATGGGGTCAGAGCCGTTACTGCTACGAGTCCTTGGGGTGTAGAAATCGGGGCTCCCTGTCTCATTTTCTGAGCCAAGGAGCTTGCCTTGCGACTCCAAACTGGAGCTCCGGTGTCTAAAGTGCTGAGCTAAACTGTGCAGTCTGGTTGGGCTGATGTCTACTGACCTGCAGGTACCAGGAAAAAAAATCCAGGCTGGTAAGACAACAGGACGAAGCACTCCCCATCCCCTTCTGCACACAGGCCAGCTTCACAGGCAAAGGACTATAAGGGCACTGAAAACCTGGACCCCTCCAGCACCACATGGGGCTGCCGGCTGCAAAGCAACCTGCTTCCCTGCTGCAGGGTTTGGGGTGATTAGGTCCTACACCTGTTCCTCTCCAGTCTCCTTGGTGGTGGCATTCAGTCTGCAGCACCATGTGGGACATAAAACCTTGCCCAGCCCGATTCCTCTGTGGCTTGCCACCCTGGGAAAGACCCAGTCTGAAGGGCAAAACCTGGGGCCCTCAAGCCCCAGCTTTGCTGGTGCGGCCCTGTAGCAGAGCTGTTCGAATCAGCACCATCCCTGTGCTACCAGGTTCACCTCGCTCCAGCTCTGCAAATCCTGAGACCTTAGCCTCAAAGGTGGTGGGATTCCCTTGCAAGTGGCTCATGAATGTCCTGCACAGGTACAATCCCCCTGGTGCGAGACAGACAGACAGACTGCCCATACTCAGCCCAGAATGCAGTGATTTCTCCACTGGCCTTTGAAAAAATCACCTCTGTCAAGCAGCTAGGTTTTACCAGGGCCCAGCTGTGGGTAGCATGTGTAGGACTGTCAGCAGGTCACAGCCCTTCAGGCAACCACCCTGAATCACAAGTTTTCAAGGCTCAATTCACGGCCAAGTCTGGGTGGTCTCTAGTCATCCCAGCTGTTTGGAGAGCTTCAGCCATCCGTTCAAGGAGCAGGAACACCCCGCGATGAGTCACACACCCACGTGACAGATGGCCAAGGCCAGAGCATGCAGCTCATGAATGAACCACAGACTGAGCAATGGTTGTTTCAAACACCCAAATAGCCCCTACCCGGTCAAGGCCACTTCTCAAGCCCTGTGCCAAGCTCGTTTCTCACTCAGCTTGGCACCAGTGTTAACAAACACTGCATTCCTGAAAGGTACTCTCAGCCAAAAACTTGCAAAAAACTTAACCCAGGGCCTTAATGCCTTTGTGTCGTCTCTGCCCGAGTCTGATGTGTTGGCATGACTCTTGATTTATGCCAGGCTAAATGGTGTTAGCACTACCCCTTAGGGCAGGACACCTAACGGCACACAGCTTTGGCTCAGCCCTGCTTCCCACAATGTCCATGGAGTTTGCCACAAGAGCAAACCAGCAATGAAGCTGAACAGTTTCTAGAAATTCCTGAAAAGCCTGCTAAAAATTCGAGTCAAATTGGGCCACATAAAATCACCTCCCTTACACACTTCAGCTCTTTCCTCTGTCAACCCTGGGCTTATTCCACTGCCACCTGGATCCTCGGGTGGATTGCTTTATACAGGCTCTCTCTCCACACAGGATCACACACATGCAAACTTTTTATCTATGAGGGAGAATTAAGACTACCCAACATTTTGTATCAGACAGGAAACAACATCAGCAGCTGGATCCATGCAGGAATTTACTGCAGAATTTAGCAGTAGCCCCACATCCCTTTTAGAAGTGGTATGGGATTAGCAGCGCCTATAAACAGTCCCTGAGATGAAAGGTCCCAGTGGAAGAAACGCTTGATTACTTTTGAGCGGGAGATGAGGGGCAGTATCACATTTATCTGAAGTGATTTCAGGACCTCAGTTCAGGAGAGATTCCCTACTGGCAACAGTGCTTGAGCCTCTGATGTGAATAGGACTGGTTTGTGTCCTTTCCTGAACTGGGAATTAATTAATATCTTGGGGGAAGGATAAGGCAAAGAATACTTATTTCAGGGTAAGCAAGGTGAGACCGTAGCCGGGAAGACTTACCGCGTGGAGTGGACGTAGTGCGGACTGCGTACCCGTAGATCTGGTGTCGACGGCATGCTGGACTGGGAGTTCCAGTGGGGAAGGCTCCGGATGGGGCTATTCTGCAGTGAGCTGCTCCCTCCTGCCTCAGCACAGCTCCCGGTGCTGGGGAACCGCTTGTGGCTGCTGCAGAGCAAACACCCCGCTTCAGTTCCTGGGCAGGAATTTGGGAAAGGGGCTCCCACACTTCTTTCCAGATCTTAGGCATGTGCCTGTGATCTCATGGGGGTGAGTGGGAGTTGGGTCAGCTGCTGCTCTGAGCTGGGTCTCGGAGCTTGTGCTTCTGCAGTAGCCAGAGGTCAAGACCAAGCCCTGTCAAAGCCCTCATATGATCCACCATCCTTCCTTTCTAAATGTGTTTTAAAATAACAGAGATACCAAGCAGCAGTCATGTGGCTGCAGCCTATTTTTATGACATGCCTATTGGCCAAAACACCTAAAAGTCTCCTTTTGGTAAGGGACAGCTTTGTAAATTTTGACAGGGCTCACACCTGTCCCTCCTAAAAGCAGAGGGTATCTCTGTGACGGAGCTTCAAGATAGCTGGCTCACCTGGAATGACTGTGTGAGGAGCGTTTCTTGACCTTCTCATAGGGTTCATCCAAGGATGACTCGCTCCACATCTTGGGTTTGATGGGGGACTTGTCATAGTCATTGCGGTGGTAATGCATTTGGCGGAGGCCTTCCAGCGACTGCGGAGGAGGTGGCCTGTTGTGCAAGGGTGGCCGGGGAGGGAGTCCTTTGTGTGGGGACTGGAGCGGGGATATTGTGCTGGTGACCTGAGAATCCTCTGTGAAGAGAAGAAGGGAGAGAGGTGATGGCTGTGTGATACCTCCGATGGCAGCGCAACCCCGGGGGACACCATCACACCTCCAGGGCCTGCTCCTTACCCCACTTCCTCTGGTTGCGTTCAGGAGCAACCTGAAGACCTGACTTTCAGAAGTGCACCAGCTGACATTCCCGTTTTGGAAGGGAATGGCCAGCAAGAGTGTGTGATGCATTAAAACAATTGAAACCTTAACAGAAAATAAGAGGGCATTCTGGGACTTTCTTTTGAAATAATTCAGAGCAGTAACCACGGCAATACTCACTGCTCCAGGCCTGATCTCTGACTACAAGTTAGAGTCAGGGGAAACCACTCTCAGTCTGGAGCATTTTTGGTACTGGGAATTTTGGGTGGATTATTATACAGAACAGTTGCTCCATTTTGAGGGTCAATCATGAGTTCACACATCCTTCCCTGTTTCCTTCCTGCCCTCTAGAACATATGGCAGCCAACATACCATCCTCGAGAACAAGGGCATCCGAGAGGGAGCTGTCTTCACTGGCAATGTTTCCTTCTGAGGGGAAGAAAATACAAAGATGGTCAGATGGTCCCAAGAATCGCAGTGACTGAGTGCTGAACTGCACCGTGATCTTTGTCCACTGAGTCTTAGCCTTAAGTGGTCACCCACGTCTTCCTCCTCACATAGCCGAGAGGCAAGATTCCTGTAACAACTGACTCAGCCCACTCTCAGTCTTGGAGGGCAGAGCTGCAGGCCAGATCTCTCGCTAGCAGGCTGCCTTTCAAGGAGCTGCTAACTCTTTTCAATTAATGGGGATTAAGACTGAGGCACAATGGAGAGCTGAGATCTCCTTGGTGTGCGCACGTCTGAGCTGCCTCCCCCATCCCGTGTCCTGACGGCTGTCTGTTATCCCTGACTGCGGTGCAACTTGGTACCCAGGTCACAAATACAGCAGCTCTAATCTCAGTTCCTGCTACAAAGGCACGGAGAAAAGCTTTGCAAGTCAAAGGGAAAGGGCAAAATCAGCCAGGGAGAAAGAACCACAGCAGAAATTTAATGGATTTCATGAAAAACCAATCAACAACCCAGTAAACCATAAAGTGTCCTGAGAATTACATTGTAAAAAGAAGAAAAAGAAAAAAAGCATTTGAACACAGCAATGACACCGCTACCACTTTGATTTTACAGATGCCTTTCAGCTAGAGAGCTCACCCCAATCTGCTAACATTAATTACATTTGTACAGCACCACTCTGGAGGAGACGTTAACAGAGCGATTTTATAAGTGAACAAAGGAGTCACAGTCTGCTTTCCTGACACACTTATAATCTACAGTGCAGCACTGCTTCTTGTGCTGTGAACCAGCACATCCCTAATGCACGGCACGCAGCCCAGGCACCCATCTGACAGCACACCGGTACGGGAGAGGACAACCCAACTGCCAGCACCCGTGGAGTCAGGAGAGGGAAGAGGAGGGAGGGAAAATCTGTGCCTCAAGCCACGAGTTCAAGGCAAGAATTTTGCTCCCTTCCCTCCGCAGACCCTTCAGCAATGCCGTGGGTGCTGAGCCCCACTTACCCTCTATGATCAGGGAGGCTCTCTGGGTTGGCTTCTTTCCAGATTTGATGCGATGCTCATTGATAGCATTTTCAATCTCCTGCAGTTTCTTCAGGGCATTCAGGTAGGAGGTCTTTCTCTGTTTCTTCAGCTTTTTGCTGACGTTTGGGTCGCTCGCCAGGCGCCGGGCAGCCTCCGTGATCTGGGACTGGATGGCAAACTCCCTCTCCAGGCGCTCCAGCTCTGCCTCCTGGGGAAAGGCAAGTGGATTCTGGCTACCACCAAACTCTCCCAGCCCAGCTATGGGGAAGCTCCCCCTGAACCTGGCCAGTGGCCTCCAACCAAGGCTCTCCATCAGCAAAGCATCCACAATTACGATGCTCCCCCCATCTCAGGCCTCTGTGAGCATACCTGTCTCACCTTCATCTGCCTGGGAGCACAGCTGGTGGAAGGGATGACCCATACAAGGAGGACATGTGTGCTCCAGCCCTAACCCTGCTGTGCTGTTTGGCTTTCCATGCAGTTCAATATGGACTAGTTCAACAGTGCTCTACTGCTGACACATTCATCCTTTTACACCCATCTTATGGGTAACAGCTGCCTCCTGCCCACTCCTTCTCTCTGTTTACTGTCTCCAGCATTCTCCTAGAGGAGCTGACAGCTCATGGCTTAGGCACGTGTACTGTTCACTGGGTAAAAAAACTGGCTGGATGGCCAAGCCCAGAGAGTTGTGGTGAATGGAGTTAAGTCCAGTCGGTGAGTGGTCACAAGCAGTGTTCACCAGGGCGGCCAAGCCCAGAGAGTTGTGGTGAATGGAGTTAAATCCAGTCGGTGAGTGGTCACAAGCAGTGTTCACCAGGGTTCAGTTTTGGGGCCAGTCTTGTTCATTATCTTTATCAGTGA